CCCCCCTCTCTCTCTCTCTCTCTCTCTCTCTCTCTCTCTCTCTCTCTCTCTCTCTCTCAACTCACTACCTCTCTCATGGCCAAATCCTTAAAGTAAATTGCATCAGGTTTCCAAAGGCTTTATCTCCACTAAATCCCATCAAAACCGAATTCCCCAATCCCTAATCTAAGCCCTCTCTATAAGAGATTTTACTCCATTAAATTTCCCCCAAAACGCATCTCTCAAAATGGCATCTTTTCTTGAATCCTATCCCAAAATCACAAATTTTCAACCCCAAAAACCTTTTCCCCATCTAGGTTTCCCAATTCAATGTAGCTAGTTTCAATTAGAACCTTCATTGTGGGAAATTCAATGTTGGGTTTGAGGAATCAATAGGCAGGGATCCTCTACCAAAGATGCAAATCAGGGCTTTTGCAAGACAGAGAGGCTTTAGGGCTGTAGGTAGGCGTGTCCATCCGGGCCGGTCCGGCCCAGAAAGCCGGGTCCGGGCTAGGCAAAACCGGAGCCGGGCTCGGTTGCCCCGGGCCTGAGCGGGCCGAGCTCCGGGTCGGCCCGCTTTTTTTATTTTTATTTTATTTTTTTTAAATCTCTTTAAAACTCCAATTTTATATAAAAAATTATACAAAATTTTAATAAAAAATTAATATTATTATTAATCACTTGAAATTACATAAATTACAAATACAAAAAATTATAAAAAAGATAAATAATAAAAATAACTTCTTTATTAATAATCAGTAAATCCTTTACAAGTATAAATTTATTTTAAAATTCGTCGCATCATAATAGATGAACACATCCCAACTAGGTTGGCACCTATTCATCTATACCACTATCATTTACAACTGTTTCCAAAATAATTCAGTACAAAATTTAACTAAGAAATAAAAATTACAATTTGATAAATATTATTTAATCTTTATATCTATCTGCTAGTCCTAATTCTTCAAATTTATCTTCAATTACAGCCATTCGATAGATGTCTTGCATTCTCTTTTCGTACCTCCACCAATCTTATAAGCACATCACCGTTTGTACAGTATACATATCTAACGATGTCTTGTGGTCGTCGATCAAACGTCTTGCTGTGCTGAAGGCGAATTCCGAAGCTACTGTCGAAACATGCACTATTAGTAAGTCACGAACCATGATGGAAAGTATAGGATATGAAACTAATCCATATACTCTCTACCATTATAAAATATTTAAATTATTATTTTAACAGTTAACTAAAAAAGCAGATAAATATTCATCTATTTCAGAAACCTCCAATGATGATCCAAGTCCAGATTCACCAGTTAGTTGAAGCAGATAAATATTCATCTATTTCAGAAACCTCCAATGATGATCCAAGTCCAGATTCACCAGTTAGTTCAGCTACCATTGCATACCTATCAAAACTTAACCTCCAATGATGATCCAAGTCCAGATTCACCAGTTAGTTCAGCTACCATTGCATACCTATCAAAACTTACTATTTTACTTCGACTTGAGCTCAAAGAAGTCGAAGCTGTAGATTATTATGCAGCTACACCATGTTTAGCTGCATACTCATCATATAAGGTTTGAAAATAATTTCTAATAGCATTATGATGAGAAGTAGCAGTAATGGTGGGCATACTCATCATATAAGGTTTGAAAATAATTTCTAATAGCATTATGATGAGAAGTAGCAGTAATGGTGGATCCATCATCTAAGTCTATAATCAAATAATTTCTAATAGCATTATGATGAGAAGTAGCAGTAATGGTGGATCCATCATCTAAGTCTATAATCTAATTACCGTACAAGGATTGTAACAAATTTTAAAGGCCAATATTCTTCAATTGCGGATCAATAAGAACCCCCAAACAAAAAATGTGAGGAATAGACCTAAAATACTTATTAAATTTGTTCTTTATTTGAAATTATAGCTCCAAAAGTATCATCCATACGATATTTACCAAAAAAATTAAATATTTAAAATTTGTAAAGTAGCTAAAGTAATGATTGGATAATAACATTGTAGCATTATAAATAATTTGTAACATCTCTTTTAAATTACTTATAATTGTTCATTCCTCTTCAGTTATTCCGTAGGTGCTATCAGAACTAGAACTATAAGAATAATAAGCAATAAAATCATTTATAATTTTTTTATATTCTATTGCTACACTTAACATTGCATAGGTGGAATTCCACCTATGGTCAATATTTTTTTGAATTAGTCTTGGCTTTATATTTTTTTTCTTTTACATAATTGTTTTTATCTTCCAATTCTTTGTTCATAAGCATTATGCATATAAGTTACTGACCTAACCTTTTCTATCATGTGTATAATTTGAGTAAACGCACTTTTAACAATTAAATTTAAAATATAACAGATGCATCTAATATGAAAAAGATCACCATGACATGGCAATGACAGAGTTCTTTTGATAAAATCAACAGCTACATTATTATTACTTGTATTATCTAGTGAAAGAGAAAATATTTTTTTTAATTTCTAGTTTCATAAGCTCTTCAATTATTAAATTTGCAACATTATTAAATTTGTAACATTAATACCAATATGTGACTCTTCAATTATAATAAATAAAACAACTCTTTTAAATATTTTGCTAATTTTTATCAATCTAGTGTGTTGCGATGCATAAATAACCAGTTTGTGCTCTAGATGTCCAAATATCACAAGTTAAAAAAATTACAGTTTAAACTTTGAAAATAAGAAATTATTTTTACTTGTTCCTCCTGATAATGTTTTAAAATATCACGTTGATAAGTTTGACGAGAAAAATTTTTTAATACGGGGTAAAAACTACATGTAAATAAATCTTCAAATTCATCATCTTCTATTAATCTAAAAGGAAGATCCTTAAGAATGATAAACCTGATAACGCATTTCCTGCCACGGGATGCGTCATAACTCCAACTTTCAAGACTACCAGAAGTTGAGGATTGCGAGATCATAGATTGTCGGATATCACCTTGAGGCGTCTGGCCTCTGTTGTGTTTATCTAAATGGCGTTTGAGGTGGTTGGTGCCGCTCTTATGATGAGCTTGGAAAATCTTACCGCACAACGCACATTTAGCCTTCTGGGTGAGGATCCTATCGTGTTCATCCTTGGTGACGTCTATCTTCTCATAAAAATTCCACACATCGAATCTCGGCATGTTCGGAGCTCTTGGTGTAGAATCGTCGCCACCGGATCCGGGATTAACATCGGTAGGATCGGTAGGGGTAGACCTGGTAGGAGGACTCGTTTTAAAATCATGAGATATGTTTTGTTCTTCATAATCAGATTGGTAGCTATTTGATTGAAGAATTAGAGAGTATAAAAGAGAAGTGGATGAGTTTTGGTGTGAGGAAAATAAATAAAAAAACCCCTCTATTTATAGAGGCAGCCCCTTAGGCAAATGACCAAAAAAAAACCTCACCATATGACCATTTTTTGACCTTTTTGACCATTTTTTGACCGTTTTAGGGGCAAAACTGTCAAAACAACCATTTTGACCGTTATGCCCGGCCAAAACGGTCACATTTGTGAGGTCGTTTCCCGACCACAACCGCGGCCAAAAGGAGTAGACCCGGTAGGAGGACTCATTTTAAAATCGTGAGATAAGTTTTGCTCTTCATAATTAGATTCGAAAGCCATTTGATTGAAGAATTAGAAAGTATAAGAGATTATTAGAGAGTATAAGAGAGTATACGAATGTATAAGAGAGTATAAGAGAGAAGTGAATGAGTTTTGGTGTGAGAAAAATAAATGAAAACCCCCCTCTATTTATAGAGACATCCCCCTAGGAAAATGACCAAAATACCTTCACCATATGAGCGTTTTTTGACCGTTTTTAGGGGCAAAATGTTCAAAACAGGCATTTTGGCCGTTATGGCCAGGTCCGACCAAAACAGTCTGTGACCGTTAAGACCGGGCCATGCCAGGTTGGCCCGGTCCGGCCCGGCCACAACGGTCACAAATGTGACCGTTGGGCAAAAACGGTCACATTTGGCCCAACGGTCACATTTGTGACCGTTTATGCCGGGCCGGGCCCGCAACGGTCGGCCTGGCCCGGCTTTTGCCCGCAACGGTCACCTAAGGTGACCGTTGCGCCCATGCCGGTTATTTTGCTCGGACTATTTTCTCGTCCTGGCCGAGCGTCGACGAGGCGGCCCGTACCCGGGCCCGGAACCCGGTCTGTCTCGGGTTTCCGGGCCAATCCTGGGCTGAAAGAATATAAGTTACATGGGTGAGAAAAAATATACTAGTTGAAATGCTAAGATCAAATGAATACAGGGCAGACCTCCTTGATGTACTAAATCTATAGAAGATGGACATCAACGATTCTTGAAAATTTGACACTATCAAAGTTGAAAGCGAAAACTAGAGCTATTGATTACAGTGCAATTTTATGTTGTCTACAGTATTTGCATGAGCCATAAGCTCGCCGAAGATATATATAACTTTAATACTTTATAAACATCAAGAATACAAAGCAATACATAAATAAAGCATTGTAGATACAGTAGACCAAGATATAAAAACAGGACCGATATAATAGCAATTTCAATGATTTTAGAAGCTAATCTCAGAATATTAAAGATTAAGGCACTATTTCAGAATATTAAAGATGTAGTGGACTAATACGGAAAAGACCATTTGCTACGCTACAGACATCCAAAAAAATGAATTCGAACCTAATTTCCTAATATAATCTCCGGCAACTCAATTCCGGCAACCGGCGGCGTCAACAAGCCCCACCGCTTTCATCGCGGCACCGTCGATCTCCGTGAGATCAAAAAGTACTAGGAAAGAAAAAACCAATTTTTATCCGAAAGTTCCCTTTCCAGACGTCAGAGAAATCGCCCACGAGTTTAGGTATCTCTTCTTGTCGATTCTCATTTTGTCTGTGTTGTACTTCTGTTTAATGAAATGGTCTCAATTTGATATCTGATTTGAATTGATTGATTGAAAAATGAATTATCAAATCTATTATCTTTAAAGATACCTACTTTGGTGAGATGTTAAGATTTGCAAGGAACTTTTTTGAGTTTAGTTCCTGATCAATAGCTTCGACATCAAATCCTTGACCTTCAAGAAGAATTGTGGTTCTAACGAGGATAGGTAACTAAACCTGTTGCATTTATCAAATTTTGTAACCAAATGACAAACCACAAGCTACATCCGTTGTCACGCAAGCTTAATCAAGTTGGAATACAAATTAAGGTGGCAATCATCCAAACCAATTTTTTCAAGTGATTGGCATAGGACGTAGAAGAGCGATGGGCCTGCAGACCAACGGTTGAGCTCGAGGTAGTGTCAATCCTTGTCCCTCTGTCATGTCCACCATTCCTTGATCATTATCGGCCTTCCAATCAAAGCACTGTATCATGGCAGCGAGCGTTGGTTGGATAACTTGCAAGGCTAACGATGTGCCTGGACAGCCTCTTCGACCGCTGCCAAATGGCAACAGATGGAAGTGCTGGCCTCTAACATCCACCTCCTTATCACTATTCATAAACCTTTCTGGTTTGAATTCAAGTGGTTCAGGCCAGTGATTTGGATCCCTTCCAATGGCCCATACATTGACAAATAGCCTTGTTCTTGCAGGGATGTCATAATCATTAATCTTACAGCCTTCAGTTGATTCACGGACAATCATCGGGCCTGTTGGATGAAGCCTTAAAGTTTCCTTTACGATGGCCTGGAGGTATGGGAGCTTTGGGATGTCGGATTCTTTGACCAGTCTGTTCAAGCCGATGACTGTGTTTATTTCGTCTCTAGCGTTCTGGAGTATGTTTGGATGGTTGATGAGTTCTGCCAGTGCCCATTCTACTGTGATTGCTGATGTATCAGTGCCTGCAGCAAAGATATCCTATGCAGCATTGAATGTAAGATAATTAACTTTCGTTAGTTGAAGTAATGTCGCGCAAGCAAGATATAGCTTAGGATTTCAACACTGATATGCCATAGGCTTGATGAACTTTTTTTGCAAAGTAATGATGAACTTTCAAATACTAGAAATAAATGTATTCTGGTACATGCTTTTGGGATTTCCTGTATATAAGGTAGTCAATAGATAAATAATTGAACTACAAAATTCTTCTTGATATCTTGGAATAGTTCCAGTTTAAATTTCACAAGGCTACGTTGAACTTTGGGCTCTTTTTGCTTAAAATTACCATAAGTTTTTTTATTAAAGAAAATTACCATAAACTTTTTGCATTAGACTAGCACGCTTGATGGCAGACAGTTTTGCTATTATGTACTTTATACATCTTCTATGTTACTCTTATGAACTTTGTAGTTTGTAGGTTAATAGATGTGAATAAGAGTAGTTTAGACCTTTTATCCAAGACCTTAAGACCGTTTAAAACCATGTTTAATAGTTAATGATATTTTTCTACAGTTTTGAAAGGTCATGATAGTTTTCTTTAACAATAAAGGTTTGTGGTAATTTTGTGGAAAATGCTTCAAAATTCATAGTAGTTTTGTGAAATTCACCCATATTTTCTACTCAAGGTTGGTATTACTGCAATTTTACTATATTCAATTGTCCACTGGAAAAAATGACAAACTTTCATTTCTAGAGGTTAGGACTTGAAAACCTGGAAAAAAAAACTCTGTAAGACTGTAGCTGTAAGTTGATGCTTATCGATTCTTATGCAGTTTTATCTCTTTTGAAATACAGTAGTCCCCAGCAAAAAAATTGTCCTTTTAAATATTCATGACGCTCTTTCTATGGAGAGGTTATTGGATCTCCTTCTCAGATTCGGAAGGATTAATTAGAGACTTTGAGTATCAAAGCCATTTTCATAAAATTTAAAACACGCAGCACATATATACACATACACGTATGGCTCTTAAGCAGTAACTATTTAGTTGACAAAGTTCGTAATATTTTAATTCTAATGTTCTTCTGGAATAGGGTCACGTAATAATTTTTAGTATGCCTGTAAAAATTATTACCATAATGCCTTCATGTCCGTAAAAGTATTATGTGATATTTTGATTTTTTCACCTGGATCTAAAATCGGATGATCAGGACCTTCTGTATTTGACTCAGTCCTTGGTTATTTGAGAGAAGAAGTCTGATTGTTTTTCCACATCTGAAAGTGTTGTAGGCTTGTAGCACAGTTAAATTTTGTATTTAGATTACTGTCATCGTATCTTAGAAAGGGTTTGTAGAAGAGCGAAAGGAGGGGATGTCGGTTCTACTCTTCATTCTATCCTAGCAGAAGTTGCGGGGTAGCCAGGCCCAATCAGGCCAGTCAGGGAAGAGTCCCGGTCTTTGGATTGGCCAGCAAGTGGGAGCTGTAAGGCAGGAAGCTGCATAGGCAGGAAAGGGTGTGGGTTATGTGATATTTTGATTTATTCACCTGGATCTAAAATTGGATGATCAGGACCTTCTGTATTTGACTCAGTCCTTGGTTATTTGATAGAAGAAGTCTGATTGTTTTTCCACATCTGAAAGTGTTGTAGCACAGTTAAATTTTGTATTCAGATTACTGTCATCGTATCTTAGAAAGGGTTTGTAGAAGAGCAAAAGGAGGGGATGTCAGTTCTACTCTTCATTCTATCCTAGCAGAAAATTTTCCATTGTGGTTCTTCCATGGGTGAGTTTGCCATTTCTATATGTTGTGATGTATGGGCAACAGTGTATATGAGACGAGCTCTTTTACATATTTTGTGTTAATATATGTTAGCACAAAATTTTAACAATATCATTTTGCTATATATCATGAAGCACTCACAGAAAACTGTTGCTGTGGTCTTACCAAAATGAAAGCCTTGATGTTTTCTCTTGTTAGCTTTATCTCCGCATTACTGTCACCAGCTATATCAAGCATTATATCAAGCAAATCTTTCTTTGTTTCCTCAGCGGTGTCTTTTCCTTTTCTTTCCTCCTTCTCCTTCAATATCCCTTCCATCATGTTGTCGAACCTCTGGTGCAAGTCTTTCAGTCTTTTATCAAAACCTTGCAAGTCCAAGTTCCTGCAGAATCCTATATAATCTGCCAAGTTAAATTTCCCTGTCAGCTCAGCTGTCTCTTCTACGATCTTTTTAACCTCCTCTGCCTCCAAATCATTTCCTGAGCATGTCCGGCTCATTGCCATCCTGCATATCACATTGTTCGTCAATTTCTGAAGCTCTGCACCTATATTGACTGCCTCACCCTTCAATGATTTCTCAAACAGTGTTTTCATAAGTCTTATAATCTCCTGGCGCCTCAAAGGAAGGTTCTGTTCAAGTGTCCGACCGCCTAACAACTGTGTCATGCAGAGCTTCTTCATGTACCTATTAGAGATAAAGAAGATGAGGGTTTCTCTGGAGTTCAATGTACACTATTGTATCGTCAATATTGTTACCTCCAGTATGAGCTGTAGGGGGCAAAGGAGAAGTCGGCAGAGCCATAGGTGAGGTAGGAAACAGCTTTTGACAGGGGCCTGTCAGAGAAGGAGTTGTCATGAGTCTTGAGGAATTCTTTTGCAGTTTCTGCTGATGAGGCAACAACACAAGGGACGGAGCCTAAACGAATGGAGATGAGGGGGCCATATTGGAGGGAGAGCTTGTGGAGTGCTTGATGAGGGATGGGAGCTAAGAGGTGCAGATGGCCGAGTATTGGAAGCGCCAGGGGACTTGGGGGAAGGCACACTCTAGTTCGCCAACGGGATAAGAAAGCACGGAGGATGATGAGGGAAAAGAGCCATATGAGTGAAAGAGTTGCATAGGATTTGAAAGCTTCTATTCTCATGGTTTAAGATTTTGAAGAGGCTACAATTGAGGTAGTTGAAGTGGTATATATGCGAACATATGTTTGTTTAGAGGCAAGATGATTTCTCATGGGAATGAATTCTGCTTCTCTCACTTCTTGAGTTCCAAAGGAACAAGACAAAATACATTTTTTAAGACTACTCATTTAGAAATTGTAAACTGCCGGCTCATCCATAAATTACAACAAGAAGAAAGAGGAAAACCCTTTGTCCTCAGATTTAGTTTGTTTGATAGCGTACAAGATAGTTGGTTACAGAATACAACATTACAGCTCGTCACCATCTCCTCATAGGTGGGGAAAAAGTCCTCTAAATTCTATTTAAAAGTGCCTCCAGAACTTCTTCGATTTCATCCAAAGATCTGTTACAAGTATTTTTAGATAAGAAGAGTGAGGATATAGTAATTGGATTTAGGGTTATTTGCATATACCCCTTAAATCCCGGGTATTTACAAGGAACACCTCAAATCTTAGTATTTGCAAAAGTACCCCTCAAATCATCAACTTTGTGAAAAAAATACCCCTAAAACCAACAAATCATTAATGTAGTGCGATTACAAACTAGCTTATCAAAGTTGATGATTCTATTGCTTTGAGGGTAATTTGTCCAGAATTGATGATTTAAGGCGTAGTCTTGCAAATACTGAGATTTGGACGGTATTTTTGCAAATACCCATGATTTAAGTGGTATATATGCAAATAACCCTTGGATTTATTAGTTGTATGGTGGTTGGAACTAGGTCAAGATCACAGGTCTGCCTAATGATGTATTCATGATCATGACATTTAGGCTTGAAAGCTACTGACATGTTTATTTTTCCCTTTTTCTGATGCAGGCCAGGTGCAATTGGAAATCAACTGCACTACTCGCTATCACAGGTAACAAATTCGCTTAAAACAATGTTTTCTTGTAATTAATCTCTGCGTTGTTGTTTTATATTCCATGTAATATATGTATACAAGCAAGTACATGGACTTCCATTCTCAATGAACAAGGTTATACTATCGTTCTTTGTGTTTTTTCTCCTTCGTTTAATATTTCTGTTGTTAGTGGATTAGCATTTGTATGACATCATTGCTTCCCTTTTATTATATTCAAAATTCGAGTGCTGATAACTGTGGTTACAGCCAAAGAAATGTTTATTTTAGGTACAACAAAAAGATGTTATAAATATATTGAAATGGGCAGTCGGTCTTGGCCTGTAACAATAATGGAGAGCTAGACTAGGGAAATGCATCATCAACTATATACTTTTTTATTTATCCTAATAGCAATCCATCTTACAACAAAACATACCGATAACTGGGGAAATTGTTTATTTTCTAGTACAAACCCTACCATCCAAGTAATGATACAATAAGGGTTAACCTCTCCAGTTAAATCTTTTAATTGTAGATGCTTTAGGACATCCCTGCCAATTAAGTGAAAGGTAATTGTTCTCAGTTAGAAATCAACAGTATGCATGAATAAGTCCTTTTAAAGATGAGACAGCCAAGAATACAGAATGAATCTGTTTTGAATAGGATCCTCAAGTCCCTTTCTTGCTGAATTATTGAAAATAAGACAATCTGTATCAAATCTGCTAAGGCAATTTTCTGCTTAAGTTCCTTTGTTGAAAGAAGCTTTAGGTCATATTTATGGAAGGAACTGCAGAGAAGAAATATTAAACAAATGCACGAAGGATTTGGCTTGGAGCAGTGTGTATATGTCAGTCAGAACAATCATAACCCCGTACTTAAATTTACTAGTATAATGCACGCGCTTTACACGTTGATATGTTATTATATTTAATATTATATAATTTAATAAATTATATATAACCATTAAAAATTATTTTATTACACTATGATTAAAAAAATAATAATTTATACTGTTATTAACATTTAATAGTTATTTAATTTTTTTATTATTATATTATTAAACAATTTATTTAGGAGTATAATTATTAAATAATAATGTAATCATTAGTTTAAGTAACACTATTGATATAATTAAACCATTTAAATTATTAAATATTTATGTCATGTAAATATTTTAATACAATATCTATTAAATAATGGCAATAATTTTTAATATTATATGACTTTATGTTGTAAAGAATATTACCTTATTCGATAATTAATATCATCTTAGTAATAAAAAATTGGATGGTATAAATTAAAAATACTATTATTTATAAAAAGTAATTTATATAAAAATATTGGATCCTTCAAATATATGAGACATCTACTTTCCAACTAAAAGTGCATGACTCATAAATTTCAAAGATCCAATATTTCATTGCACTGTTATTAATAATTAGAATTATGTGCAATATTTTATTAAATACATAATTTTACTATTTCATTACAATTAGTAATTATTTTATAATAAATTATAATATATTTATTAATTTTGTTATCATTATAAATTATTAGTATATTCTAGCGAGTGGCCAAATATTTTGAAGAAAAGAAGAGAAAAGTATATGTCTCATAAATTTCAAGGATCCAAATTTTTTTATATAAATTAATTTTCTAAAACAAAAGTATTTTTAACTTATAACATCCAAATTTTTATTACTAAGATGATATTAATTATCGAACAAGGTAATATTCTTTACAACATAAAGAAATAACCCCTATTTATACTATTATTAATAATTATAATTATGTGCAATAATTTGTTAAATGAATGACTTTTAATATTTTATATAATTAATAATTCTTTATAACAAATTATCATATATTTATGAATTTTGTTTTCATTATAAATTATTAATATATTCTAGTGAATGACCAAATAATTTGAGAAAATGAAAAGGTGTATAGTTAATGAGAGGTTATGGATCATTAGTTTTATAATTAATGGTATAATTTTGAGTTATAAAAAATTGAGGGGGTAAAAAAGGAAATCAAATGTTTTGACATGGGCATTCTCTTTTATAAGTAGTATAGATTATTAGCATGCATGGCCTTTCATGCACCTCGTAGAAGAATAAAAATTGATTGGAATCCAAACTGAATATAATCATTTTATTGCGTTAAGATTCATATTATTCACAAGTCTAATCCAAAGGTTTATTAGTCTGGCCGCATACAACAATTGCTAGATTTCCTTCAGTGGTGGTGAGCTTTAAATATATGCATCTATTTCTTGCTCAAGGTTGCTGATAGCGGATCGCGACGCGTCGCGACGAGGTACCGCTAAGGCTATATCGGGCTATTGCGGCGAAATCGCGACAAATAGCGCACAGTCAAATAGCGGTCAAATTTAAATATATTTAAATATCCTAAATAATAAGAAAATTCATAAAAAATCTAAAAATTCAATTAGTTGTAAATTTCTTGTATTATCAATAAATAACAATTAATAAGCTTGTTGTATGAATGAAACTATGAAGAAATTCAAGAAATATAGCATCATAATATGTGTGATAGCGGGTTTAGCCGCTTTTAACAACAAAAATTCGCTTTTAACCGCGAAAATCCGCTTTTAACCGCGAAAACCCGCTTTTAACCCGCTAAAATCCGTTTTTACGCGCTATTCGAATGAATAGCGGATTTTCCCGCTTAAGCCAGCCGCGAAACCCCTACGCGTAGCGCTGAAGGGCCGCGACCGCTATTCGCGCCGCTATAGCCCCGCTATTGGTCGCTATTTACAACACTGTTCTTGCTATTTAGCTCGTGTCAATGACCTCCTCCACCAAAACCATTAATAATGACATCCCCATGATTCGCACCAGCTCACTGTCTACCTTCATATAATCAGCCTCGACTCTTTCCCCATATCAATACCTTTATAAATTGTACTACAATTTTACACTACTTTTGTATTACAAGACACAATCATGTAGATCCTTCCTCATGAATCACAATCAGGACCTATGTGTCTGTTTCTTTGAAAGAACTACATCTAAAGATTGTATGCAATCATGTCTGAGATACTAGTTTGACAAATATTTGTAACTATGATATACAGTGATGTGGCATTAAAGTATGCAAGGTCTGACCTCTCTATCACCAACCGATTAAACAAGGACTATAACAAAGTTAACCATTAAATTCTGTTATCGTGTTCTGTTTCAGGGAAGAGGAAATGGTAGGCTCTATAGAAGTATGGGGTTGTAGAAAGGCTTAGCCAAGTACAACTGACAAACATGACAGCAGATCACGAGGCCAATCATCAAATCTCCCAGGTAGTATTACAAGGCATCAGCAAATCAGTAACCTATAAGTTTTTTGTTGCCTGATGTGTTTATACATCTGATTTCAGACTGATGAAACCATAGCCTGATCCTACAGATGGAAATGAATAACCAGCAAGAAATATATACAGATTTCATAGAGATACGTATGCATTTGAACAGGTATGACATGCTTAACGTGAAAATTTTACATGAAAAGACGAACGATATACTATTTAAGTCTTATGAATATCATCATTATTATTCAATTGAAGGGGTCTATGAATTTTGGCAGGAAACATCCACCATTGAAAGTATCAATAGCTTTCTAAGTGAAAGAAGGATGTACATACAGAATATGAGAACAGATATCCCATGCTAAAATATGTGAAATCGAACCATAACAAGATAGATACCTAGTGCTTTGAAAGCTTCCCTGAGATCTGGTGCAAATCTTAAACCAATAAAATACCAAAAAAAAGTGTGGTAGCATCCTCCAATTCACGATAAAGATACTAAAACCTGACCTAGACAGAACCTCTCCACCCCCGATTGATCATCACTATGGATTTGATTGGTCTTGCAGTCTATATTTGGGTTATATGATACAAACTGTGAAATATTAAAATTGCATCTTCTGATCACTAAGGTAAGTCTCATAGGGGTGACCTGGAACCATATTTCATGACTTGTTGATGAGGAACTTATGTAAAAAATATATATATCAAATTACAGTTTTTCAATTGATTTCATAAAAAATGGATGAATAGGATTCATCTTTTTCTTTTAAAATATTACATCATGAAATTGTTGCAT